GATGATGTGAATGGTAATGATGCTGATGATAATGGCGATCATGATGATGATGTTGATGGTGGTGGTAATGATATATTGATGTACAACAAAGTTTATATGACATTAACAAAATACTTACTTAGATTTATTTATTAATTACATATAGATAGTCTTACACGGATGAGAAGGATTTTGATACCAAGAAGTTATAATAAAATATTTGTTACATGTTAAATGTTCTTTTGTGAATTTCTCATTACAGTGCCGTCTTTCTTATTTATGTTTATAAGAAAATCATTCGTGTTACTGCAATATCATTCATGTGACCTAAAATATCGTTTTTTGTTGTATTTAACTTAAATATTTCTGTGATTTTATAATTAAATTAAAAAAAAAACGAAAAAAACAATAACTGATTGAGTCTCAGACTTAAGTTTTTGTCATCTTCGTTTCATCTTTCGGGAAACGGAAGAAACTCCTCTCTTTATCCCGTTTAGATGATAATAAACAGCCCTACACAGTACAATTCACGACCATTATACATAGTAACGTACAACGATGTTATATATTAACGTCCAAGTTTCGTGATGAATAAATGAAAACTATATTCAAATATCAAACCCGTCTTAACGCGAAAACGGCTCGCCGACAGCCTCGTTGTGGTTCAGTCAATGTGACCGTCAATGTGCGGGGCGTGGTGCGGTATCTAAATCTAGGGAGGGGCGGAGAGTGCCCATCCTCTTACTTTTTGTTCTCTGCGCCTTATATTAAATGAGTTATCGCGTAACATACACACAATAAAAAAATACAGTAAATTTGAGAACCTCCTCCTTTTTTTGGAGTTGATTGAAACGATAGGTGAGAACGTCACATCTCTATTATCATATCTGCTCCTATATTGATTTCGCCCTTATTCCTTCGACAAACCTTTCGTTGAAAAACGCCGTTCGTTTTTTCATGAAAAATAGTGACATAAATAACATTAATACGAGGAATAAAAATAAACTAGGTGTTCTTGATAGTCGTCTTCATAAGGCCTCAAATTCATTTAAGGGGCAATGTATACGCTTCTACAACATGATTCCGATTGATATTACAAATTTGCCATTCACGAGGTTTAAAACTATAGTGAAACAAAAACTTTATACTAAAGGTACAAAGTACAAAGGAAGGAAGATACCGCTTCTGGGTACTTGGATGACAAAAATCCGCGGTATCGACCCTTTATTAGCTCTCGCAGGTAGTCGCGATCTAAGTCGTTTAATTTAAATATTGTAACGATAAATGTATTGAAATGTATATTTACAAAGAGCAACACCTAGAGTTTCTTGCTCATTCTTCTCAGGAGAATCTACCTTACGAATGAGCAGTAGAGTTTAATCAGTATGACGATTTCAATTGTAATTTGCTTACCTATGAAATAAAGATTATTTAACTTTGACTTTGACAAAGATCTATAACAAACACAAAGAAATTGGAAAGATCTGCTGACTCGGGCGGTAGCTAAGTTGGTTAACAGCGGTAGCCCCGATATAGCAAAAGACGCTGGTTTTGAATGCAGTCGGATCGAAGGATTTTTTTCTTTGTGCTGTTTTTGGTCTTTATATCAATAATATTATAATTATAAAATAATTATATTATAGTTATAATGTGGAAAGATTTGAAGAGAACGATAAGGTTGAAATAGATTCTACTAGAATGTAACTTAAACCAATTAATTTGACTTACGTGCTCGATGTATTGAGTTAAATTAATGATGTTGGTTTTTGACTGACGGGCTTTAGTATTGCCCCTTCTCTTAGGTAATGTTGGATATATTACTTTATAGACAATTCACACACATTTCTGCAGAACGTAAACATTATAAAAAACCATAATAATTACTATATTACGAATAAAACGCCATTTTTTTTAACGCACACACTCAACATGGCCCCGCACTAGGGAAACCCTGTGTCGCGGGTGCACTAGACACACACCTAGATAACCACTAATTACACACAAACTCACGAGAGAAATAAATGTACCTACACCATACAAATATTTCTCCCGACCCGGGAATCGAACCTGGGACCTCTGCGTGGCAGTCCGGCACGGTTCAGCCACGGAGACAGTTTACCAATGTTATCTTATAAGAAAGTCAAGGGCCATTTAAATGTCCAACAGTCTTTGCGTGTGTGAAAACACAAAAAGAAAAAAGACACGTAATTTTCATAAATTTTATTTTGATCTCTCTCTATTATCATATTAAGCCCCCTGAAATTTGTTCAATGTACAAATTTAAGTGGTATTGCGACTGTTATGGACAGGAACGTAGCTTACCACCAGGTGCACAAATTGTTCGTCCCGTCATTTAGTATTACAAAAAACAATCAAAAAATTAAAATGTGAGTGAGTAGAATAATAAAGAGAACGAATACATACGTAACTACTCAGCCGTTGAATTTCCATTGGAGTAAGCAGAGCTTAACGATCGCCACATTACAAGATCCTGACAAGCCTCTTTTGCTTCACTTATATTCATCAATCTTTTCATACAAGCCCTCCTATTCTTCTGACATGAATAAATATCCTATAGCATTTAATAAGTAACAATGAAATATATGCGAACTTTAACCTTGGTAGCAAAAAAACAAATTCTCACTACGGTAAGTTTGTAGTTAACATGTTAAGTATTACGATTGTGAATTTCACAAGATTTAAATTCTGCTTTATATATAACATTGGCGCGTTCAAAGTCAAGTCTTTATTTCACAATAATCAAATTACACTTCTAATTAAACTCCACTGCTCATTAGTAAGGTAGATTCCTCTGAGAAATGAGCAAGAAACTCTAGGGGTTGCTCTTTGTAAATATACATTTCAGTACATTTATCTTAGAATATTTAAATTAAACATATTAAATCGAAACTACCTGCAAGATCTAAACCGTCACTACCACGGGTTTTTGTCATCCAAATACGCTGAAATTGTATAACACCCATTAGTATAAAGTTTTTGTTTCACTGTACTTTAAACCTCCTAAATCGCAAATTATAAATATCAATCAGAATCTTATTACAGGAGAATATACATTGATAATGTAAATGACTTTGAGAAGACGACTGTCAAGAACTGTCAAGAAGAAGTTTATTTTTATTCCTCGTATTAATGTTATGTCTGTCACTTTCATTTATTTGATTACTAATTTAATATTTTTTTCCACTTTTGCCATCACTACTTTTACAGCTGATTGTAAACGCACACGTGAAAAATATTGATGGAACGAATTTTTAATTACGTATATGATTTTTTACAAATACGAAAAAAGAAAATGGGTGCCAATGGATTTCAACATTATCATTTTGATCAAAGTGATCGCTGTTATTTTCCAGTCCGAGAAGGCTGAATTCTATGGAAACTGCTCCAAACTAAGATCTGTAGAAACGTTCCAGACCAACCGACGCGTACGGAAATGTTACAAACCAACCAAGACACGGAATAAATTTCAAGAACTTAAGTTGGTATAAATTCTGTACAACCTTTTCTTTACTATTACCGAGAATTTCCTGTGACTCATTGTAGTACAGTTTACCTCACCTAGATGGCGTGTTTATAGCGTCATAGTGACAAAATTCAACAAAACCAACTGGATAATAACTAAATTGACACGTGAAAATAAGATTTATTTTCGTTTACCAAATTATGGAATACTAGCAGGTGCCCATGATTTCGTCTGCGTAAAATAAATATTCCGAGTACTATACCTAGTGAATTCAAATCATCCCCTATTTTACCTTCAGAGGTAATTGATCAAAAACGCTGAAACGCTGTTTATTAATGACAAAACGATACCTCCAACGAACACAAAGCCAACTTAATTTTTGTACCTATTGTGTTTTTTTTTGTTTTTTGTTTCTTTTTTTCACAAAATTTGGGGAGCGTAATGTTAGTAAATAAATATGGCAGTTTACAAAAATAATAGAAAATGACCAAAAAAACAAGTTGGCGTAATGTTCATTGGAGGTACCGAAAAGGCATAAATATGAATTTTCAGATCCCTTACTTAAGAAATGAGGAGAACCAATGTTCTCCAAACAAACTTTCATCCCTATTTCACCCCCTTTAAGACTTATTTCTGTGACAAAAAGTAGCTCTTAGGTTTCATCTAATCTCTATACCATTCATCAAATGTGGTTTAGGCGTGAAAACATAGCAACAGAGTTACTTACTTACTTTCGCATATATAATATTAGTTTAGATGTCTGTATTACTGATTTCAAGACTTTTAGTTGTTATTCATTTATTAATTATAACAAGGTATGAGTTGTTTTTATTTTCCCGATATTTCAAAACAAATTACAAGTTCACGGGTCACAGGTTGACGGGTCAAAATTATATCATGGTAAGAAACCAGTAACTGGAGAAACCTAAAAATTTCTTCACTACTCTACCATTGGAGCATTATTTTATGCTACTATCAACATAAGCGAGACGTTAAATATCAAGTTCTGTTGCGCTGACAATGAGTAGGAAACTAAAATTTAAAGAAATTAACCTAAACGTTGACAGCATTCAATCTATACAAACGTATGTTGTTTTTAACCACCAACGCTAACAGAGAGGAGTCATAATTTTGAAGCCTTTGCCTAATTGTATTAACCTATTTAGACAAGCAATAGTCATACTACTTTATTTTATATTCATTATTATTGTTCGGTTTAGTGACGATCATATTATCCATTAACATTGTATTTTTAATTGTAATTTTGTGACATTGACAATATGAAATAAATTATTATTTTCTATTCAGTCAAACTGTGATGAGTATGTTTAAGTAATAAGAAGAATTAATTTCTTTTAAATTACGGCGTCTTCAAACTAGACGCCTGAAGCTCTGCTGTGACGCGTCTATGACGCGGAAGATGCACCACTATTAATTTTCATACAATATCTAGTCTGCAAATACGACGCGCCACTGCAGTGCTTCTTTATGTGCCTAATTTGAAGGCGCCCTTAAATGTAATACAACTAAAATCATCTTACCTCAAAAAATAGTCATGGACAAAGTCCTGGTTTTCATCGAGCCAGGCCTCAGTCCGTGCGCACTCCGCGTCGTAGCAGGTTGGCGCGGGCATCACTCCGCCCGCGCCAACCCCGGGCTCCTCTATGCTCCGCAACTGTAGACCTGGAACAATCGAGAACTTTCGTGAATAAGCGGTACGAAAACCTATATACAACCATATCATATTTAAAGAATAGTCACCTCGACAACAATTAATACAATAAGAAATTGTAAATAATGATTCTTCGGTCACTTCCAAACAACTTTTCAGTTAATCTTTCTATATCACATTCCAGAACTTTAGCGTACATTATCATAAAGATTATAGCTAGGGCTATAGTTCCGGGAGTCTCGGTCTCGAAAATTTGGAGTCTCTACAATTTTCCATATTCAAGATAAAATTTTTTTAAATTAAAAAATTTCATAATTTTAGTCAATAAAGAAATTAATTAAAATATCATGCTTTGATTTAGTATGGAAACCTATTTTTGAAACAGACTCCAAAGTCTTGGCTTTCCCGGAATTTTCGAGACCGCACTGAGTCTCAAAATTTTGTTCCTGGGATGTGGAAATACAGCTAGATTGAAAGCCCCCATTATTAGCTGAAAATTGTCTACTACTAAACATTGGGTAGCTTAATATATCCAATGTTTCCATATTGTTTGCTTATCCTAACAAAAATGGCGAAAAGCAGTACACAGATATCGTTGGTAAAAAGAAATAATAGAAAATCTATAGGGTAATACCAACGATATGATTTAAAATGATCGACGCTACGGTGAAAGAAGAACTCCGTACCAAATACCGCAATTGTCTCATCATTATGACATCCTGCTTCCAACATGCCAATACAAGTATCCAGAAAATTATTAAAAATTTTGCATCTTACTAGTTCAAAATTATAAAATAAGCAGCACAATAAAGAAAGTAAAAACTAATCTGTACTGTAAAATCAATACGCATTGCATATTCTAGAAAACAACGTCAAAATGACATAACATTTGGTATCAGATCACAGACCAAATAAATTATCAGATGATAGCTCAAAAGAGATTCTTTACAAATTGTACTTCTATACACAAAAAAATCTCCACTGCGGAACTCTACTCAAGGTAATCGGATGGGACTGGCGCAATAACTTACGCAACAATAAAAATTAATATTGATTACAATTCTAACAACGCGGATAAATAGACTCCAAATAAAGAATGAGACGGTCATTAGGTGCAAGAACTTGAAGACGTTGCGCAGGAACACGTCGCACCAAAACTTTGTCCATTAAGTTGCCAAATAAATAACGATTCACGTTCACTAACAACGTATCCAGATGGCCTAATGGAAATGCCTGTACTTAATTTGGCGGGATGTGGCCTTAATTTGATGGACTGAGGTCAACATCAAGGTTGAAAGGAAGGAGCAATTCAGAATTTCAAGTTTAAATGCGTCCTTAGAAAAATATGCTACGTGCGAATTTGTATTGAACTCAAAATTCAACATTTTAAATTCTGAGAACTTTTAAGGATAGTTTAACAACCTCGATGGTTCAGTGGCGCTTTATGAGGAAATTCCATGTTTAATTGCTGGTAGAACCATATGAGGTTGATGAAATAACTTTTGTAAATTAGATTAGGTCAGGGTCTTCTGGACCGACACCCTTATTATTTTCTTTAATTATACTCTCCCAGAAAAGGTAACGACTTAATACAAAATAACGTTATAAATAGATGCAAACCAAAAGAAACAAAATAACAAGTTCAAATGTAAATTTAAAACAGTTCCAGAAAACATTCGTAGCAAAATTGTTTCATTTTCATAACGCAATAAACGCGATTGCAAAAACAACACTAACTAAACTAAAACTAGTTGTTATCAAAATTTGCCACACAACTTTCATCAACAGCGCAAACATCTTAATTGCCATCACATTGCCGACTATCCTATTGCGATCTTAATTAAACCCACTATACAAATTGTTTTCGACTAACTGGAAGTGACGAATGCATTCTTTCTATGTGGACACGTGCAATAATTTAAACGAGTTCAAAGAATACAAAAGAACAATATGAATATCACGTGTCGACGGAGCATCTATATGGTTTATATTATAGAACATCAACATATAATTAAAATGTAAATGTTTCATTTAAAATTTTTGGAAGTAAACATTTAAAATGTTGTAAATATACGATAAAACAGATAAACTGAAATTTCCCATACGTAATTGGACATGTGTTTAAAAGCAAAACGTCAGATACATTTCGTACTGCCACAAATAACGACGATGGATCTGTTTTCCAGATCATTAAAGATAAAGCGTATACAGTATACCAATTCTTAAATCATTGTAAGTATTTTCCAAGACATATGTACATCAACAGGAAAAGCAAGGTTACCCTGATTAACTGCAATTGCTACAGATGAATGGTTTGAAATTCCCCAGAGTTGAATCAGTATATATTGTATAAGTGTTTCTTAGCATCAATCCGTTTTTTTTTTCTTCGAGTACTTTACTTTCCATGAAGTCAATTTCCTGATATTCGAAAATGTTGATTTCGACAGAAAACGTTAACTTATTATTCGTAATCTGTTTTTTTTTTTTTTTGATGATACAAAGTGACGGGATGAGCAAGTCGTGTGCTTAGTGGCTGTCCATAACAGTTGCCGTGCCACTCAGGGCTTTGAATCACAAAAATCTGAAGAGCACTGCCACTGTGACCAACATACAGGGGTCCATAGGTCAAACCGCCGACCCGGCGACACAGTCTTGTTGGTGTCGGCGGCCTTATTACTAATCTAATCCTATGACATGATTCTAGAAACAAGGCCGCCGACACCATCCCGCCCGGATCGGTGAGTAAATCCCATGTAAATCCCTCAAGTTAGCAAGTCCCATGTGCCTGTTTCATCAGCACCTATCCTTAACAACCGGTACGCAGTAATGCTGACATTACTGCTTGATGACAGGAAACGGTAAGATAACTAAGTACTTCCATGTACTAACTCTTCCACAAGGAGTATACAAAATCATGATTAATAACAGTAACTAATAATGATTTTGTGAATTTTCCCAGAATTGTTTTTGTCTTGCTTTCTTTTTCCGTGAATCTTATCGTCATTGGCGTTGTCTGACACATCTTTCACATTTAGTTTGAAATTAGCTTTTCAACTGAGCTACGAATACACATATCAAAAGCCACATATAGTTACGGATTAGAGAGAATCCTTCAGTCAATTTTGACCGTTAGAGGTAACACAACTCGTGTGCCTTTTGTGTTATGCAAATGCCAACATTGTAACGGCGTTATGTAAACAACCTGAAATGCCGTGTTACAGCTATTCAGAACATGCACATTAGGAAGAATAAAGAACTTTATTTTAACACTATGAATTTGAATTTCACATTGTATTTGTACCTGTACGTGTGCCGATTTACCGCTACTGCGCTCGTGGAAAAAGGTACTTGCATAGCAATTGTATTGTTTTGTAAGCAGACCAGCGAGACAATAGTTTTATTTTGCATATTCAGCAATTTTTTCAATTTCACTTTGATTACGATAAGCAACAACAACTTCCTTCTCATTGTTATACAAAGGACCACGTTTTTAAATTAACCAATTAATTAAACTATGTAAAAGAGTTGCCTTGGTAAAAAGAGGTTGTCACAAGATACTAATTGAATTGCTCCAAAATTACGTGCCCCAAATTTGCGACAACTTATATTCACGGCAATTTTTTTTTATGTAATACCAAGTGACGGGACGAACAAGTCGTGCGCCTGGTGGTAAGCGACACGCCTGTCCATAACAGATGCAGTGCCACTTAGAACGTTTAATTGCAAAAATCTTAAGGGCACTCCCACTGTGCCCGTCACCCTAAGATATAAGTTGACAAATCCCATGTGCCTATAATTTCATCAGCACCCTTACCAGTCTTGCCGTCAAACGGGAACGTAATTTCGTATAAGTTCACAAATAATATCTTAAAAATGTTGCAAAACTGTTGGCTTGTTTACCGTACTCTACTACCATTCTTGTCATAACTAATTAATATTTGTATTTTGATAAATTTCGAGATATTGGTACCTAAAGTTTCTGCTTTATTCTTCGAAAAATGTCAATCACGCTGATGCTCATGCTTAACAATAAAACTGAAACTAAATAGGATATGAAAAAGTCTCTCATAAGGGGTTGTGGATCTGGTTTTGCTGATTCCAGATATGTTAATAACTCAATTTTGCTAAAAATGTCGAAATGACCTGAAGGGCAGTATAGTTGGGAATATTTTAATCAGAAATATTTTCATTTGCCTATGTAAAAATCATTCACTTCAGTTCAGTCTTGCGGTCACAGTTCACTTGTTTCTATTTAAATACGTGTAGCGCACTATAAGTTCCCGGAATGAATAAGAAAAAACAACTATAAATGGTCAGAAATGAATTTATTGTTTCTCAAAATGTTCTCCGTTAGCGTTAATGCACTTTTTCATACGAATGAACCAATTTTGAACACATTTATGCCACTTCTCCGTGACAATCTCTGAAACATACTTTTCATACTCTTCGACAGCCTTTTCAGGTGATGAAAATCGTTGGCCGCGTAACTGGTTCTTAATTTTTGGAAATAAATAAAAGTCACAAGGTGCCAGGTCGGGACTGTACGCGGGATGACTCATAAGGTCAAAGTTGCTCACCTTAAAAAATTCATTTGTCAGTCTGCCCGTGTGAGAAATAGCATTATCGTGGTGCAAGACGATACGGCGTTTACGGTTATTTTTACGGAATTTGTCAATAACTTCCCGCAAACAAATAGTCGTGTACCAGCCACTGTTCACAGTGCAACGATTCTCTAAAGCAACAGTAGCCTAGTAGTAGCGTGTCCAGTTTTATTAAAAAAAGAAGCAATCATCCGCTTAGAGGCACTTTGCACGCGCGCCACTTTGGTTGGTTTCGGCTCATCTCGAAAGACCCATACGCTTGTTTGTTGCTTTGTTTTGGGATCGTAACGTAAAGTCCATGTTTCGTCACTTGTTACCATGTCCCACACCAAATTTGACGCCCCTTCGTTGAATCTGGTAAGCATGACATTGCACCATGTGACGCGATCCGTTTTTTGAGCCTCAGTCAA